GAGACACATGAAAACCATGTAGGTCAGAATTGTTTTATTTTGGGAAAAGATTGCTTCTGTTCAGATTTAGACTTAGTGTATGACTTCAGCAGTTTCATCAAATGAATGTCTAATGATGTGAGACATTTCATATTCTAAGTCAAGTAGAGAGTGGTAAAAAGTTAAGGTTTTGTTTTCCATTGCAACGCATGCAAGTAATAGTTACAAAACATGGTTTGAAAACATTGGTGGTGGTTCCTAATATGCTAAGAGATGCAGAGAATGTTTCAGTTGTTTTTGCTTCTTTATTCTCATATAGGGCTCCCCGCGCTGGCTGCTAATCCTTAGAGCTGCTTATAGTTAGTTAGCTTAATGGTTGCACGTTGCAGCATCCTGAGTTCAGTACCTGCTGTTACTGTGCAGCCTTTTCTATGAGGCACCCGGGGGAACACCAGAGGTTGAAACAAGAACTGGCACCTGCCCTCCCTAGCAGGGAGACAAGGGGCACCCTGGCCTCATGGAGAGGAGCCCTGTTGCTTTGATGTATCAGTTTCAGCTGTTCAGGTCATTTGGGAATTTTTATCTTAATGTTCACGTATAAAGGCAGGAACTGCTGGACTCTGAGCCCGTAGGACCTCAAACTGTATCAGGTGTGATGTCCTCATCCACGGCATTGCTTTGTCTGACCATGGCTGGGGAGAAGATCTGGGAGCCCTCCCAGAGCATGTGCTCTGACCTGTGTTTTTACATATTCATGTAACATGGTTAGAAGGGCTGCAGCGAGTGGGGAAGATCACACCGTTAGGTCCTGCCCCGCTGCGCCTGGCAGCCGAGTGGGCTAGTAGGTGTGGGCCAGAAAAGCTCCAAGTGCGATCCGACACATGGGAAGAGGGATAGAAGCAGAGCTCAGCAGAGTGTGTCCTGAAGACAGGCGTTGAGCTGCCCTTTGAGGGCTGAGCCAGGTTTGAGACACAGATAGAGACCTATGTCCAGGATACCCGGGCCTCCTAAAGAGAATGGCGGAGGGAATGCCCAAAGGGCTGTGCCCAGAGAGGCGCCAGAAGGTAGCTTGGGGCTAGGGCAGTGCTCAGACATGGGGTTGCGTCTGAATGACCAGGAGGACCGGGGCAAGCACATGCAGCCCACCCAGGTCATCCATACATGATGGCAATGCTGCTGGCCCCCCAGCACACTCCAGAGAACCTGGGGGCATGGGCTTCCTTCCTTCCTGGCAGCAGCTGAAGGTTCCGGAGTGAGGCCAAGAGCCAGCCAGAGCAGAGGTGCAGGGAGATTTCTGGGAGGTGGACCCAGACAGAAGGCTGGTCAGGGGAGTCTTCCTGCAGTTTGGCAGAGAGGGAAGGAGGCGGCAGGGTCAGAGCGAGGTCCCTTTGTGTCTGTCTGTAGGCTGGTGCTTTTATGTGTTTCCTTTTTTAAAGACTAAAGAGGGTGTTTGCAGCTGCTCCTCTCCTCCAGCCCAGGTGCCCCTCCTCCTCATGCTGGCCTGCGCTCTGCTGGGAGACTTGTCCCTGGGTCTCTGTATCCTCTCCTCTCCCTAAACTCTGGGGTCTCCCTGCAGGGAGCTTGTCCTGGTCACCCCGAGGACTCATGGAGCAGTTGTAGTCTTGCCCAGGCCACCCTTTATCTAGAAGGCCTTTCCCATGCATGATCTCTCTCCTAAGATGCTCCCAGGGCACCTCTGTCAGTTGATTTTTCTCAAGTTTTCCCCAGTCCCAGTGTGCTCGAAGGCCACACACACACACTGTGCATGCCCCTCCACAGTCTCGGCCAGGGCCGCCCCAGAGCCGAGGCCCCGTTCCTCCCCTGGACCTCCTTGGCCTCCCAGCCATTGGGTCTGGGGCTGTAGACCCACTGAGCTCATGGGGGCCAAATGCAGACCATGTTTATTTGTGAGGCGGCACCTATTTGCTTCATTTGAAATGGTGAGGAAAATAATTAATAACCCAGCACTCATGCAAGTTTTGTGTGTGTGTGTGTGTGTGTGTGTGTGAAGGGAAGGAGAGGATTCTGCTCTGAGTCTTTATGAGAACGATAAACATTTCATTGAAATGTATTCTAATAATTCCTGTTTAAAAATGGATTTTTGACATCTAGAGCTATTCTTAATTTTCAGTGATAGCCTAGAGATTTTTAATATTTGTGATCTAAACGCCCTCCTTTCAAAAAAACAAAAAAACCTACCATATAAAATTATTTTTTAAAGTTGAAGTAGATGTAATTCTGGTGTGTAATTTGTGGGAAATGTTTCAGGGGAACCCTTGTTAGGGTGGATGATGTCATCTTGGCTACCAGAAGGCCCAGTGTTCATGATCAGTGTTGTGGCTTTTCAGTATTTACCTGAAAGGAATTTTATGCACTGATTAAGATTATATTTTGGAAGAGTGACAGTGGCATGGGACGATGCTCAAAAGCAGGTGAACTGTGCAAAGAAAGGCACGCACCACATCTGCAGTGTGCTCTCAACTGTCTAAAAGCAGGTGGGCGGAAAGGCACAGAGATGGTAGGTAGCTGTGTTATCTTTACATTTGGCTACGGGTTATTTTCCTTGCTCTGGACCTTTTAATCTTTAAATGTTCCACATTTTCTACAATGAGCATGTATTTTAAGATTTACCAACATCACTAGCCCTTTGAATGCAAAGGATTTCTCTACACCTGAGTGACCGTGGTTGGGGGTGTGGCTGGGGGCCAAGGCTGGTTGCTTTTCCGGAACCCCTGGAATTGTGGAGCTCTGCACAGCGGGAAGCTTTGGTCACCCCCACTTCCTTCTGCAACCCCGGCCCACGCTGGCCTGCACCAAAGCACAACCTTTGGCAGTTGGGTTGCGCTGTGCAGCGCTGGGAGTCCTGCTCCCAGAAGGGGCTTCCTTACTGCCTCCGGGCAGGCCTGCCGTGGCCACGGAGGGAGGCCCCCACACTCCTGTTTGGCATTTCCCAGGCGGCTGTGTCCCGGCGGTGGCAGGACCTGCCAGAGCCAGCAGGTGTCCCCAGGTGAAGGCACTGCGCAGTGCGGTTGGCTGGGAGCCCCCATTCACTCCCCCGCCCGGGGCTGTCCTAAGTGGACGGAGGTGTTTCCCGGGCCCTGTGTATGCTCCTCAGGGCCCCCGCGTTTCCCGGGACTGGCCGTTTAAAGCCACCCGAGTACATACTCGGTGTAGGAAGAAACAGCACAGCCTTGTGGAGGCCAGGATCTTGAATCTGTTCTTTTTCCTTGAAGTGGAGCCAGAGGGTCTATGCCTGTGTGCGAGCACTAGGTGGCGCCAGAACGCCTGTCCCCAGAGCTTTCCTGTCCTGCACCGTTTCAGGAGGGTGGTGGACAGGTGACCAGGGTCCTCGTTACCAACACAAATCCAATGCTGCAGGTTGTCAGAGGGCTGACAGACTGTCTGGCACCTTTCCCAATTCCTAAGTCGTTCATCATGTAGTCTGAAATTCAGAGCACCTGATAAGAGCACATATATTTTAGGAAAATTTCACGGTCCTTGGCAGACATGATCCCATCAGTTCTAGGTTGTAGTACAACCCTCTTCACTGTGTTTCCATTGGTTTATTTATATTTTTTAGGAAAGCCCTCATTCGTATCATAACTGTTGATTGTCTTTTTGAAATAGAGCCTTCTAAAAAGGGAGGAAAACATTTATTTCACAGAGTGTGGCTGCTGCAGAAAGGCAGCCATACCCCAGTCCTTCTGGTTGCAGGGTGGAAAGGTCTGTTGCCACAAGGTTTAGGGCATTTCTTGTCCACGTCTTCTTTTTTTCTTCTTTCCTTTGCCTTCAGTTCCAGTCAGTTTAGCTTATTTTCCTCATTAACTAAAAGGAAGATGCAAGAAGTTGTGGCACAGAAAAAGCCATCTGAAAATGAAATTCGTGGGGCCAGGACCTTCCTTATGAGGATTTTGAGGAATTCTATGAGGTACAGTCTTGGTTTTACAATCAATTTACTTCTGTGGTATAACAAATTCGTCTGTTTTATGCTTTAGTTCACAGGAAACTATTATAAAGTCAATACGTTCCACATCTTGTCATCCATGAATTTTTCCTCAATTATCTGAGTCATCAGAAGGTTATGTAATAAATACCTTTTGGTTTAATCCTCCTTAATATTCTTCATTGCATAGAATTCTTGTATTTTGCTTGCTTGGAAGAATGATGTCCTTGAAGTACCTGAAGAGACTCAGTTGAGTTTTTCTCCACTCTTGATTGGGCTATAATCTGTCCACAGTGATCAACTCTGTCCCAAATTAAACAAGTGGCAGGTAGGAGAACCGAGCATGGGTGGGTCTCCTCACACAGCAGCATTCTCGTGGAGGCACTGGTACATTTCCCCAGCAGTTGGAGGGATTTCCAACTGGACATACCTTATTACACCTGGGCAGGTGTAACCAAAACATTGATATGCCACCCATGGGGTGGTGGGGGCTGCAGGGGAAGAGCCCAGGAAGGCTCCTACCACGTTCCGAAGGCCTGGCACCAACAGCGTGCAGTCTGGGGCCTAGGCCATCGTGACATCAGACACTCCGAGAGACTCAGAGGCACACATCAGCTAGTCCTAGTGAACTACAAGATCGCTGCACTTACTTAGGTGAGTAGTCAACAGAAGCAGTGTGAACGCTGTGTGAGCCAGCTGAGCTGGGGACCGTGCGCTTTTCTCCAGGGCGGTCTTGTCTCAGGATGCTCAGGGCCCTGTGCAAAGCTGTGCTGAAACAGGAAAGGTAGAAGACGTCTGTGGTCTCATTGTAGGGGAGCGAGGTGTATTTACCTATTTAGAATAAATTTTGAGGACTTGGAGCTACTCTGTGTTTTGGGAGCCTGTGATTCTCACTGTGCATCGAGGTAGGTTCTGCACTAATAAAATTCTAAGAAGAGTGTTCGTGCACAGGTACGGCGGAAGGCCCTGGAGGCAAAGCTGTGAATCACGCGCCAGGAGCGTGGCCTATTTCTCCGCCTCCCTAGGCACGAACCTGGCCTTTCTGTGGCGTCTCTGAGTTGTCTGTGTTCCTTTTCAGGAGGAATGAGCTGAGCTGGAGGCCTCACTCCTGGCACGCCACCAAGTTCTCCGACAGCCACCTCGACACGTCGGCATCTCCGTTCCCCTCGGCCAGAGCCTGCCCCGCCTGGCGCAGCCGGCACCACGTGAGGTAGGTGCGCGTTTCCTGCCAGCCTGGAGAGTCGGAAGTTCTGCGTATGCTCACAGCTTCCCAGCCCTGGCAGGATAGGGCCTTTCTTGACTTCAGAGTGACTTGATTTTTCTGATGAGGAAAGGCCACTGGCAGGACTTTGTAACTTCTCACTTGGCAGGCAGATGTACAAGTCTCGAAAACAAAAACGCCAGGAGCAAGGGTGAACGAGAGTGCTTTTCTCACGCTATTACGTTGCTAGATCAGGAGCCTGGGGACCAACCTGTTCTGGCTGAACCCTTTGGACCAGCCTAGTTGGTGGTTCTGAGCCGAATGGGACAGCTGTCCATGCTATGCCACCACCCTTTTGAGACTTTTACATGTAGATTGGAAAGCAGAAGGTGCTTATGGGTTGGGCAGGTGTATTTATCGAAAGCTCCCCAGGCAATTCTGTTAAGCCTCATACCTTCCCTGAAAGCCCCAGGGCTGTGCTGTGCACATAGAGGAGAAACTAGGGGCTTCACAGCCACATACCAGAGCAGCGACTAGCCTTCAGGGCCTGGAAGTGGTGTCTCACTGAGCATAAGACTGAAATGGTGGAGGGGGAGTTCTGGTCAACCTTCCTACCCAGACCTGGCATTTCTGGGCCAGGAGGGTCAATGTCAGCTGGGCGTCTGTCAGCACCACAGGGGTGTTGGCTTGCGGAAGCTTCTAGTAGGCCCAAGGTGCTGACTGGACACCTCAGGATAGTGGCCAGTGTCCTCACTAGTCCCCTGTTAGAAGGATGACAGTAACAACAAATAGTGTGGCTTTGGGGTGTGTGTGTATGTGTATGTTCATGTGCTTGTATGTGTATTGGTATACACTGTGTGAGTATGTATGCATATGTGTATACATGTCTGTGTATCTTTGCTCATAGGTGTATCAGTATGCATGTATGCATGTAGGAGTGCCTGCGTATCTATGTACATACCTGTGTATCTGCTTGTGTGTATCAGTATACATTATGTGTGTGTGAGCATGCATGCGTATTGGTGTGTATGTGTTTCTGTTCATATGAGTCTATCAGTGTATGTGTGCGCATGTATGAGTGCATGCATATCTGTGTATATGCATGTGTGTATTTGCTCATGTGTATTGTGTGCATGATAAATGTGCTTGTCTGAGTATGTGCGTCTTCCTGTGCTCGTGTGTGTGTGTATTGGTGTACATTATTTGTGTATGAATGTGCATGGGTATCTGCGCACATGTGAGAATGTATTCATATCTAAGTGTGTATGCATGTGTATCTGCATGCACGTGTGATCATGCACACATATCTAAGTGTGTTTCTGCCTCTGTGTGTTTGGAGTGAACATAACTACCTCAGCCAGTTTGTGGCTATTAGTAAATACTGGCCTGTAAAATTGTACTTAGTGAAGGAAATCCATCTCAAATACAACATTACCTATTTGAAGTGATAGGAGATTATGGTATTGGGAGCCTAGGGTATTTTTGAAAAACCACAGTCTCAGTTGAGTGGTAAAGCTGAAGTGAAATGTAGGCCTTTTATTTCACTATTGAAGTGACTTCATGTAACAGATCACCAGAAGCCTATTTGGTGGTTTCTTGATTGAGCAGACACATATGCTGCCCACATCTGTGTTTAGTGTTATTTATAGCAGGGCTCAGCAGCTCATGGATGAGTGGTGGGGTGGGTGGGAACATGGGGAAGAACATGGTCCATTTCTGAGCAGGGTGCCCAGTCTGTCCAAACAGGAAAGGGTGTACAACTCAAACTGTCATCTGCCTGGATGAATAGTTTTACCATGGAGAGCTGACAGCTTCACATAAACACTACCACTATCTTAGAATAATTAAGTCCTTAATTAACCATGTATCACCTGGCTTATTGTAATAAATCTGATGGGCTTTTTTTTTTGCTCCTTTGAGACTTCATCCTACTTATGAAGCTGTGTGTGTGGCCTTCAGGTACAGCTCCACTGAATAGTCAGGTTTTGCCAGTCCCCTGAGCCCACTGGGTCTTGCTGATGAAGCCTGTCAGTTAAGTTCACTGTTGGATATTCCATTGACTAAGAAGGAGCTCTTAGTACTTCAGTATTTGGGTTTCAGAAAGTAAATATTATCCCTGAACTTTCCCTTTTAAGTTATAAATCTATTTGATTGCTTCTTTCGTGTAACTAATCCGTAAGGAGAATCATTTCATATAGTAAACCAGGGTTCCACGAACATGTGCTGCAAAGAGACAGATAATAAAAATACTTAATTCAGGCTCTGCCAGCCTGTGTCTGCAGCAGCTACTCAACTATATATGCTGTGGTAACTGGAAAGCAGCCAAAAATTGCAAACACATGGCCATGGATGTTCCAATCAACCTTTGTTGATGAACACTGAAATTCAAATTTGATAGCATTTCCGCAGGTCATGAAATATTACTCTTTCAATCCTGCTGCTCTCCCACCCCAACCATTTAAAAACCTAAAAACCATTCTCAACTCAAGGACTGTGGTTTGCCAACTGCCGTATGTACCTAGTGATGGGCGATGCATGTGTGTGCACATGGGCATTTTGCCTGCTGGTGACTGCTGTGGGCTGTGGCCAGCCTGCAGGTGTTCAGGTGAGAAGTGTGTACCCAGCATTTTAAGGTAACTGGGAAAAGGCCTGAGGTGGGCAGGACCCAGTCTGCCCTCAGAAAGTCACTCTTTAAAATGCTGACATCTACATGTGATGAGGTCACACTTGAGGTCCGGTGATGGTATTCTGGGAAGATTTTTCGCCACCTGGCACCTTGCCATTTCCTCGGAGGGCCAGCTCTATTAACGGTGCTGTTGTCTGCTTTTCCCTTTGTGACTTGATTGTAATGCAAACTGTGCCCTGTTGTTCTCGTCCCTTAGTTGTTCTTCCCATGACCTGTCGGGCGCATGGGAGCAGACGAATCTGCAGCGCACATCTGACCATTTCAGCTCCCTGGGGAGCATGGACAGACTGGACCACGCCCCCCAGCCCCACGCCTCTGGACGCCTTTCAGCCGCCAAGTCCAGTAGCAGCATCGACCACCTGGGCGGCCACAACAAGTGGGACTCGGCTTACGGCTCATTTTCCACTAGCTCCGGCACACCGGACCTCACCTTGCCCAAGGTCGATGGCTCCTCCGCGAGAACATCCTCTACAAAGTAGGCTTTTGGGAGGCCTCCAAGGCAGGCGGCGCCCAGCAGGGCCCGGCCCCCAGTGACCCTCAGGGCCTGGAGGAAAGGCTGGGGAATTTCCCAGCCAGGGTAGAAGTCCCAGAGCCGGAGGGCAGCCCTGAGCCCAAGCTGGCCACTTCTGGGAGGTCTAGTTTCGGGCCTGTCTGGTATGTTCCAGATAAGAAGAAAGCCCCTTCTTCCCCTCCTCCACCTGCATCTCCTCTCCACAGCGATAGCTTCGCGGCCACTAAGAGCCATGAGAAGACCCAGGGCTCTCCGTCCTCAGAGGTGGCCAACGTGCAGCACTTTCCAGGCCTGACCCAGGCCCAGCCCCGGGGTGCCTGCAGGCTGCAGCCCACTGGGCAGCAGTGGAGACCTGCACACCCCAACAGCGGGAGGAGAGTGACTGTACCCGGACTGGGCAGCCTCCCAGTGGTCCCTGGCCAGCTCCAGGCCTCTCTGTCCAACACGGATGTGCGTTGTCCACCATTGTCTCCTGGGTCCCAGCATGCACACCAGCACAGTGATGAGAGCCCCTTCTCTCATGAGGGTGCTGGGCCTGCCATGTCACTGAGGGAGCAGCCATGTGTCGCCCTTACTGGGGGCGGTCAGGAGCTTCCCATTGACTGCTTGCAGGGTGACGACCCCACTCTGGTCCGGTGGCCCAGCGCTGCCGACCAGGAAGGGGACAGCAGTGGACATAGCCCCTACTATTGGGTGACCTCTAGACAGGGCCTTCAGGGAGCCACACAGGCCACACAGCTCCACGAGGAACAGTGGCCTCATGACGTGGCCCTGGGCACCCATGATGGCGACAGGGCTGACCCAGGGAATGGAGGTGCAGAGGGCTGCTTTGTGGGCATCGAAGAGCCCCAAAAAGCCGGCCCTGGGAACAAGACAATCTCAGATGGCGTCACGTGGGCTGATGGAGGCGGCAGCAGGATCTCTCCTTGCAACACACCCCTGTTGCACTCGCTGGCCCAAGGAGGGTCGGGCCGGCCTGAGAACGGCCCCGATGGTGGCCCAGAGAGGCCGCTGCTCGCCGGCCCGGCGGGCAAGCCCATGCGGAGAAGCGACCGTTTCGCCACCACGCTGACGAATGAGATCCAGATGCGGCGGGCCCAGCTGCAGAAAAGCAAGAGCGCAGTGACGCGGGCTGGGACCAGCGACGTGGGGGAGGACGCTGGCTGCTGGGCGGCGGACCTGGGGGGCACCACGGGTGCCACCCTAGATGGTTTCCCGGGTACCTACAGAGACCACCTGAAGGAGGCCCAAGCCCGGGTCCTGCGGGCCACGTCGTTTAAGCGCCGTGACTTGGGACCCAGCCCAGTGCACCATGGCGTGGGGTCCCCGGAACACAGGGCCGGGGACCACAGTGCAGATCTGGACATTGTCCCCCACTTTCGGGAGACAGGCCTGGCCAAGCCAGTGGCGTGTGGAGGTGGTGGCTCGCACATGCCCCGCATCGGAGGCCGCAGGCGGTTCACAGCGGAGCAGAAACTGAAGTCGTACTCTGAGCCAGAGAAAATGAATGAGGTGGGGCTCTCAGGGGAGTACTGCCCCCACCAGCACCCCAGTCCTCCTGGGGAGACTGTGGGCACGTTTGCCGACAGGTGGAAGTTTTTTGAGGAGACGAGCAAATGCGTTCCCCCGAGGCCTAGGCTGAGGCAGGTGCCCCACGGGTTCCCCAGCAATAAGCTGGGGCAGATGGTAGGCCCTGGGTGCGGGGGCGCAGAGGTGGGGCTGCAGTGGAGGGCCCACACAGCCTCCTGTGGGGAGAACGCCCGTGGGCAGGGCATAGCCGGGAAATTGGGACCATCTCAGAGACTCGGCACGTTTGCTGAGCACCAGGCCTCTTGGGGGGACCAGAGGACAGCCCTGGAAGCCAGGGGGTCTGGGAGGTATCACTCGGCAGATGACATCCTGGATGTGGGTCTGGACCAACACGAGAGGCCGCCGTACCTTCACGAGAGGTCCCGGTCATCACCATCCACAGACATCTACAGACAGGTAAGCTCCAGGCCTCTGGCAAGGACAGCCACCCCCATCCGCCATCCTGACACAGGACGCCCCCAAAAGGTAATGACCCAGTGTTAGTGTGACTCATATCCAGCTGTTTGAGCATTACACGTACCAGCTCCTCACGGTCAGCCTATGAGAAAGGGACCCAGGGGCAGATGGCACTTTCACAGCAATTGTGAGCATCCTATTTTTAATTTTTTTTGTTAAGGTATCATTAATATACACTCTTATGAAGAATTCACAGGAAAACATTGTGGTTACTACATTCACCCATATTATCAAGTCCCCTGCCACACCCCAATGCTGTCACTGTCCATCAGTGTAGTAAGATGACACAGAGTAACTACCTGTCTTCTCTGTGCTACACTCTCCTCCCCCTGACACCCCCACACATTGTGTACTAATCATAATACCCCTCAATCCCCTCTCCCTCCCTCCCAAGCCACCTTCCCCCACCCCTCTCCTTGAGTAACTGTTAGTCCCTTCTTGGAGTCTGTGAGTCTGCTGCTGTTTTGTTCCTTCAGTTTTGCTTTGTTGTTATACTGCACAAATGAGGGAAATCATTTGGTACTTGTCTTTCTCCACCTGGCTTATTTCAATGAGCATAATGTCCTCCAGCTCCATCCATGTTGTTGCAAATGGTAGGGTTTGTTTCTTTCTTATGGCCAAATAGTATTCCATTGTGTATATGTATATGTCTTCTTTATCCATTCATCTACAGATGAACACTTAGGTTGCTTCCATATCTTGGCTATTGTAAATACTCCTGCTATAAACATAGGGGTGCATATGTCTTTTTGAATCTGAGAACTTGTTTTCTTTGGGTAAATTCCAAGGAGTGGGATTCCCGGGTCAAATGGTATTCCTATTTTTAGTTTTTGAGGAACCTCCAAATTGCTTTCCACAATGGTTGAACTAGCTTACATTCCCCCCAGCAGTGTAGGAGGGTTCCCCTTTCTCCGCATCCTTGCCAGCGTTTGTTGTTCCTAGTCTTTTTGATACTGGCCGTCCTGACTGGTGTGAGGTGATATCTCATTGGTGGGCACCCTATTTTTATCCACATCTTGAGTTCTCAGTCTTGTCATCTCTTGGTTCCGCTTTCTTTCCCCCTGATTAGCTTTCCCCTACCTTCATACCAAGCAAAGAATTTGGGGGAAACTCTAGAAAATGATACGTTTTCCTCTGAAATGAAAAGGGGTGCTTTATATAAAGGCTTAAGACAAAATGTATGGTAGCCACTCCTTGAATACTGATGTTACTTAATACTTAAAGTAGTAGTTATTGTTTCTAGTATTCTTTTTCTTGCAAATATTTGTAAACATTGCTCTGGGGCAGATGTAATTAGAAAAGCAATGCATTGAACCATTACTCTTTTACAGTAAGAGTTTTGATGAAACTTGTGGTAAACAGCTTACTTCCAGTCTTCTAGAAAACTACATGGCGTTCTGCATGCTTTAAAGTCCACAGCCTGGCTCTGGCTCTCTCTCCCTGTCTCTGCCTTTTCTGCTTCTTAAACTTGTATGTATATATTTCAAAGAAAAAAAATAGTCCTTGCAGCAACAGATGCAGCTTTTAAAAAGAAGCAGTTGGATTTAATACACAGCATTTGATCTGTGCATGTGAAGACAACCGCTTGCTTCTTTGTGGGTCCTGGGCTGAAAGGCCAGTAGACACGCAAGGGGTTGTCTCTGCCGGGCAGGACTGTGGACTGTGGACTGTGTGGCATGGCCACTGAGAACTCCATGCTGGCTCAGTCGGGAGACAGGAAAATCCCAGACTGGCAAATCCTAGAACTTGAGGCTTTGCCCCAGTGAGCTGTAAGCAGCTGTATTTGATTTGACCATTTTGGTCAGTATGTCCCACAGTCTTCAGACTCACGTAGGAGTTCTTCCCGCCCAGAATTGAAATGGGCTGAGGGTCTCCTTCAGTCATTTTGATGAAACCCTTTGGATGGTGGAGCTCACCCGCCTTGCGGCCGAGTGTCGGTACAGGACAGCCAGCTGCGTCACTGGCTCCGTGGTCCAGGCCTACAGGGCAAGCCCACAATGACGGGGTTTGTAATAACAGATTTCTTGGAGGCAGCTTGATCACTTGGTGTCTCACTGCTGCCCTTGGCAGGAAGCCTCGGCCGAACCGCAATGGCAGGCAGAGGGCCCTGGTGAGCGCCGAGAACGTTCTGCATTCCGGGCCGAGGAGGGACGTCACACTCCAAGGTAAGTGGATTCGGATTTGGGGTGGCTGAGCAGGCGTCTTGGGGATGGGCTTCTGTCTGGTGGGTGAATGCTTGGTTAGCATGGTCAGCTATCTGGTTATGCCAAACCCAGCGTGGTTCCTAAACCAGATGCGATTTCCCACATCCCTGGTGTGGGCTCCGGAGCATGTTTCGAGCTGCATACCACTGCCGGGAGAAGCCACCCAAGGATGGTGACGCCTTCCGATGCCATCGTGGTGGTTTTCTTGCTTAAAATGGCTGCTGTGTTTCCTGTACAGTAAGGTTCTTTATGTTGGCAGAACGAGAAATCCCATGTAGCGTGCCTGAATGAAATGCTTTCTCCTGCACGCCCAGTTGGAGGGATGCTTTAACTCTCTAAGCAGCTAGGTTCCTGGGGCACACTCTTGAAATCACAGCTGCCTTCAAGGATTCTCAGAGAGGAGTAGGGACTGTCCTTTCAGTATTGGGCCTACTTAATGAGTAGTATTGAACTTTCAAATAGAAGTTCCCCACGGTGTGAAAGAATCGTGGATGGCAGTGGAGTATTACAGTGTCGTGTGCCGTGATTCTAGAGTGCAGCAGGGATGGCTATTTCATTGCAGCGAGGATGGAATTTAGGGTAAATACACTGTGTTGTCTTGCACATGGGGGTCGGGCTATAGATCTCTATAGGAGCTGTGGTATAACCTTATTTCCTAAGGGCTGATGGAGGGGGAAAAAAATCTGACTACAGATATTGTTGCCTTGAGAATCTCTGGTGACTGGTGCCATATTCAAATTAAACACTCACTTCAGATTTTAGGGTTCTGTTGCAAAAAAGTAACTGATTTAAATATCTGCATTTGAGAGCCTTACATAATCAGTTTTATTTCGTTTGGCTTTAACCTGAGTGCTGTTAGCCTTTTCCAGGAGTATCAAATATTTATGTGGCTCTGAGGGACGAAGACTGGTATTTTGTGTATGCCATGCAGAAGTCACAGCAGTTACCTAACAGCATAGCTGAGACCAAGAAGCCCTGGGTAAGAAAGCAGGGCTGATCAGAACATGCCTACAGAATTCAGCAGTGTCTGAGCAGCACAATTACAGCTTTATTACTATGGATTCTGAGGTCACGTGTGAGCGCCAGCTGTAATCTTTTTCTGAAGCCCGCTTCCAGGCCCTGCTGCAGTGCAAGGCAGGCCAGGGCAGTCAGTGCAGCCCGACACGTGGTCTCCAGGTTTGCCTCTGCACGCATGCCAGGAGCGCTTACGTTAAACTGCAGTGTTCGTGGTGGTGGTTGGAGTTAAGCTTGTCTGCTGTGAAGGGAGACCTAATACATGGCTATGACGTACATCCTGTATGTATGTCTTTTGTAAATGGCACTATCAATAGGGAAAGGGTCAAGAGAAGGGGGGTGGGCATATGCTTCATTTATCAAGGCATATGCTTCTAGCAGAGAAGGTCTTGAAATTTTCTGCTTTTGAGTTCAAACCCAGCAATCTTTGAATTGTGTGCACTTTTTAAAGAGAGGCAAGACAGTGAAATTCTAGAATAGGGTCACTGAAAAGCCATTTCAGCTCTTCTTCAGAGAATGCTTTCTGAAGTACTGCAAGACGGTAAACTGGAGACGTTAAATTTGAGAAAGAAATTAGAACTAAGGCAGAGGGCTTCCCTTTGCCTTATAGATTTTGTTTTTCGTGAGTAAAGATTTAAAGATGTCTTCTCTATGAGTGAAAAGCAATGTAAATATGTCTGTGTAAAGAATATAAATTTCTGCTCTGATAACTGGTGCATGGCAGGGGAAAATGTTGCGTTGTGTTCTGTTGAAATAACAGAAGAGCAGTAAGATAAGAATTTTTTGTTGGTTTTTCATGCAAATCAAATTGGGAATACTTTTGTGAGTTTCAAGATACTGTTCTACATGAACACAAGTAGGACGGAGATTCTGCCCCCAAAGGACCTCACAGTGTAGAAGGGAAGGAGAGACACTCATACTTAGAATTGGGGTGATGGCTGACACATAATTACAATAGTAGTCAAAAGTTCCCTGGTGCTTCAGAACCATGCGGGAAAGAGGGTGAGGTGGCTTCTTGGGTCATGGGGAAGATGGATGGTGTTTGAGCTAACATAACCCGACCCTGGTGCAAGTCCAGCAGTGTCTGCTTACCTCCAGCTTTTGCTGTTGTGAGCAGCCCCCTTTTACCTGCTCTGTCTTATCCTTCAGCTCCCAGAATTTTCAGGGGTCTTGCACCAGTTGTCCGAGCTCAGTTGTCATGAACAGGAGTCCACTGCCTTGCAAACACTATCCCTTGTGGACGTGGGGGTCTGGGAAAGCTGGGTGTAACAGCTAGCTCAGGCTGCATAACAAACTAGCAGAGATGGGGTGGCATCAGTAGAAATGTATTTTCTCACACTTTGGAGGCCAGAAACCCAAGATTGAGGTGTGAGCAGAGCTAATATCTCCTGAGGCCTCTCTGTGACTTCAGCATGTGGACTTTGGGGGATACAATTAGTTCATAACACTGGGAGAAATGACCATTTCTCCTTTATACCTTTTTAGTAACCATTCTGCTTGCTGGGTGGACACTCTCATGGATACACTCCATCATTGAATGATAAGGTCATACCTGATGTGGAAGCATTTAAGATACAGGGAGAAGGGAGCCCCATCCTGGTGTGCAGCTGGTGAAGAGGGAATTAGGAGAAACCTCTCTGGAGGGCTCCTTGGCATGTGGCTGAGCCTCCAAGCTGCACAAGGCTTCTGTCCGATATCTCCACCCTGAAAAAGCGTCCTCCAGAGCGTGGCCTGTGCACCACGCAAAAGGCATGTGGCTCCAGTGCGCGCCTGGTGAGTGCATCTAGGCCCTTGTCTGGTTCTCCCGCAGCTCCCCGCTGCCTGAGAGTGTCCCTGTGCAGAAGGCCGACAGGAGCGCCTCTCCGAGTCCAGGGTGATGGAACTCCTGAGCTCATTTTGTTCTTCCCGTGCCCTCCTGGCTGAAGCACTGCCCTGCGCCACACCTCGTCCTTTCACTTGGCTGCATAGGCCAAAGCCCCCTTGCCCGCTGCCCCTCTCAAGCCCACCACCCCACTGCAGCGCACCATTAGCTGATGAGCTGTGCCTCCAGGCTCTCTGGGGTTGGTGATGTCCCTGTCTCTGTCCAGGCTGTCCTCACCAGCCCAGACCACTGTGACTGTCTCCTCACTGCCCCATGTGCCTCCACGGCCAGCCCCCGTGGTCCTTTCTTCCCTAGCTGCTGTGAGCTGGTCTTGGGAAATCAGTGAGATTAGATTTGTTCCCATCCTCCACATAGTCAATGGCTTCTCATTGCACTTGGAATAAATTCAAACTCTTTACTATGCCCTGCAAGTTTCTATAGGCCCTCTCTTCTCCCTTTGTTCCTCTCCCTTCCCATCCCTAAGCCAAGACCCATTGCTGCCTTTCTGTCCCTTGAACAAGCCAAACTCATTTCTCCCTCAGGGTCTTGATGCTTCTAACGCTGTCCCTGGGATGTCAGTAACCTTCTTGGGACATCTGCCTAGCAAACGGCAGCTGGATGGTCCTGCTGAGCTTGGGAAGGGGACTCTGTATGAGCATAGTGACTGACAGATGGGCGGACCGGTTGTCAGGTGGGTGAGTGGATAAGTAGATGGGTATGTGGATGTGTGCATGGGCGGGTGGATGGAAGGAAGGATGGATGGGTAGATGGACGATGGGTACCAGACTAACATTCCTTGAGTCAGTCCTTGACTGTGATGAATGATGACTCCCTATTGGCACATTCTGTGTGCTGAAACATAAGATTTTAGTTTACACAGCAGTAAGTTGAATGGGCTTTCCTTGTCTTGCTGTGATGGCCTTGCATTTAGAATCAAGACATAAATGTCTCAGTAACTTTGGCCATGTGGACTGGTTTTCCAGTGCTGGAGCTTAAACCTGGTAAGAGAGCTACGTTGCTGTCCCATGGTTGGTCACTGCTCCTCAAATTTGAGAGTCCTCGTTGAGGATTGCATTCCAGGAGGCTCTGGAGACAGAGGCCAAGAGGTGCTCTTTGGGGTGGAATGGGGTGGAACGTGGCAGCTGTGGGTGCCGGCAGATTCCATCTTCACTGCCGCCTTCCAGCCATTTTCACTCCAAACTGGAGTTGCTGCTGCCAGGAGGCTGGTGCTGCCCTGCAGCCTTGTGTTTTGTCAGGACAGATGGGAGAAGAGTGGGGAGAAGGAGAGCCACAAAATTGAATCTGTATGTAATTGAACTCTTTAGGGAAAATGCACTTTAATACAAAATTCATCAAGAACCTTAAGCACGCAGAGGGTCACTTTCCTGTACGTTTCTGCAAGGTGACTTGGTATACAGAGGTTAATGCAAAGACTGATTATTTTCATTTACTCAACAAGTTTCTTACAAGTAGATTTTCAAAGTAAGAGATTTGCCATCCAAACCTTACCCCCCATTTGTTGCTTTAGGGAAAATGATTGCTTTTCCTGGCCTTCAATTATGTTAGGGACAATTGAGGGTGTCCATTCTGAATTGCTCTGCTGGGTAGTTAAGAAGCCCAGTCTTGGAGAACAAGGCCAAAGGCCAGCATGGAAGCGCTCCAGAGCTGCGCCCTGCACCCGGCAGGCAGTGCCCAGAACAGAGCAGTTGTGTCTGTGCACAGAGTCCTTGCAAACATACCTCCATCATCCCAGAAACGAGAAGCTGCAGCCTGGGAAAACACTGTGCCCGGGGCCTGAGGGTGTCTTTTCACATGTTCATAACTACATTTTCTCCAACATTTATACCCATGTGTCTTTAGGAAACGCAGAGTCAGGATGGGTGACCGCAGGCTTGTTTACTTGCTGGTTTGGTCTTGGGGCTTCACATTATTTGGAAGGAAACACTTTAAGGCAGGAGCTGGAGGGTTACAGGGTCGGGGGCTGGGGAGAGGTCCACAGAGCACCCGCGTGGAGGGAGAGAGTGCAGGCAGAGGGGGGTCGTGTGAGCTGCAGGAAAGGCACCGAGAGCGTAGGAGGAAGCAGGGA